AGAAGGGATGAGCAATGAAGACCAAAAGGTGCACTTAAAAGTCTTAAATTTTCTCCAAAATGGACGGGGGTGCCTAATAATGCGGGTTGTCTTGTGTATGCACCGAGTTCCAAAATCTGTGAATGCCGTTGTGTGACTTCGATGAGGGGTCCGCTTGACAGACCGATGTGCAAAACAACATCCCGAAAATGGTGCTATGTTACTAAGGCTAGGGGGCAGCGCCCGGCTGGTCAGGCCACAATTTGTGAATGGATTGTGGACGCTTGGGCAAACATGTCTGCTTGTACTGTTGTTCGAGCTTTGACAAAAGCCAGCATCATTTCTGAGGTGCTGCACGGCAACAAGACTAACTGACAATGACGCGAGGGAACCTGACGTGTTCGATTGTGAACTTGCCCAGCTGTTCATTTCGGATACAGAAGATTAGGACTTGGATGGATTTGATAATGAGGATTGATTAAAAAAAAAAAATAACGTGAGTACATAGTTAAATACTTCAATAAAGTACAACCCGACTCAGTTTTGCTACAGAAGATAATTGCAAATTATTTTACAATTAAAGCATTTTTAAAAGATCAATTAAAAACAGCTGACTTCATTTTCCTGGTAGTCAATCAAGCAAAATCGTTTTAACTCGTTCAGTAACAGCCAATTCTAGACCAAGTCTGAAAAGACGTTTAAAAACGTCTTTGGGAGTGAATGAGTTCAATAGCCATCCGTAGGGGGAAATGCTAAACGCTTGGGTTGAACTAGTCAAAATAAAGAGATTGTATGTTGGCAGCCAACCTGTGCCCTCTTCAAGGACGGAGGTGCTTTCACTGGCGCTGCTGTAGTGGCTGAGAACATCCGACGTCAGCTCGTCGTCACTGGCTCCGGACTCCACCTTCATGCCGTTTTTGACACCTAACGGGCAACACAAGAAAAGGAATATGAAGAGCCAATGCGGTGGTACTCGTGTGCACAACGAAAAGAAAACACGGCGCCAGATCTCGCACACTCAAACATCTGGTTAGAACCTCACTTATTCCAGAAACATTTAGTATTAGGAGCGTAATTATTTTGGTCCAGATCTATCACACATATGGAAACATACACAGCAACTAAACCAGGAGATACACCGGAATCTAAATCCTGAGTAATCGGGTGAATGTTATTGAATGAGGAACAGCCTAAAAGTGTAAAAGCAGAGGCTGGCAAAATCTGCTCAGCTATCCATTTTTGTCACATAAACGGTAATTCAGTAAGGCAGACCTGTGCATGTGTGCGCGTGTGTGCATGCGTGCGCAAACCGAGCTCCTGCTGGATCAGGACTTTCTACTGTTAGACTATTGGTGACCAGCATTCCATGCGCACAATCCTCAATGGAATGCGGTGTGTGGGTTCATGTTGCCAGGTCATCGAGGTCAGGCAAGGTAATTCAGAGGTCAATCTATAGTGTGGAGTTCAGTGCAGTTTCAGTTTTTTTTTTGTGGGGGGGGGTTCTTCTTTCCTCTCCTCTTTGCCCTTTGCATTGCCACTGCAACATGAGGTGGTGTGATTAATCAAAAAAAAGGTGCCAGATCTCGCACACTCAAACATTGTTTATGGATTAATTTGAGTCTATTGCTGAGGATGGTTTTGTTAGCGGCTTCTGTAGTTCAAAGTGTGCCCTTGCTGGCATGCACTGCTTGCACTCAAAACATGGGGGTGAACAGAAAGAAACATGTTTTAGATCGCAACTTTTTCCAAAATGTGACAAGGAAGTTTAATTCTCGCTTAGGAAATGGTGATCAAGAGCCAAAGAGAAAATCCTCACGAAGGCACCACAGCAGTTACCTTTCAGGGAGGCTTTTGTCATCAACTGCAGCTCTAGAACCTCCTGACGAAGAGATCCTGAAGATGATGTATTGACAATGGAATGAATGGAGTAAATATAGGATGTGTGGGTGGGTGGGTGGTGATGGTGGGGGATATAGGAATGGAATGTGTAAGAAGATGTAAAAATGACCGTGAAGAAAACATCGAAAGTGAGCTTTTAACAATGCAAATTTATACGGCATGCGTTTCTCTGACAGGTTGTTAATTCTCAGGTGCAAATTACTCAAGGGGGGCCAGAGATAGCTACTTCTTCACAGACCATATTTATCACGTACAACTGCCAAGTGGGAATGACACTTTTAACAAATATGACCATAAGTGATTCTTTTGGAAATTGCATGGTACTCCAGCTTCCTCACACATGCCAAAAGCATGCACGTGAGGTTCTCTGAATTGTCACCAGCTGCAAATGTGAATGGTCTGTCTTTGTGTGTCCTACAATTGGCTGGTAACTAGTCCAGGGCGTACACCGCCTCTCACCCAAAGTCAGCTGGGATAGACTCCAGCTCACCTTCTACTCTAATGAGGATAAGCACGATAGAACATTTATGGACTAGGCATTTGTGTCAATACTAAAGGACATTCTACTCTGTCATATGTGTGAAAATTCAAGATGTGTGTGCCAAAGAGCCCCATCAGTACACAACACATGGAGGATGCACGTGACAATCTCAGTGCACACGTGAGCATGTTTGGTTCGCACACGTGGGAACTTGATTTACACACGCAGCTGTCACTGAAAAGGTTGAAATAAAACCATGATTTTTCATAACCAAGCACAACTACAAACGGCACTAGTTCCAGTGGTGGGAAGTAACAGAATACAATTACTTGGTTACTGTATTGAAGTAGATTTTCCAAGCATCTGTGATTTACTTGAGTATTTTCCTGTCAAACCAGGTTGGTTTCTTTTTTTAACGTTGTCTAATGACAACGTGACGTGAATTTAAGATGTCAACAGGCAAACAGAGTCAACTGCAGAAGAGATCGTGACTGACTTGGATGATGGAGTCTTATATGGTGGGAAAAAAGTGACAGCCGTAACATTAAGGGAATATTAACGGCAGCAATGATGCAACAGGTTCATGCGCTTATTGAAGAGAACCGTTTGTTGATGTCCGTCCCCAAGTTGAGCCAGTCTGAAAACCATCACTTTAAAGCGTTCACACGCATTATGCAAGGTTATTTTTATTCACTAGATATTGCAAAAACGTAGATGCATATCAGAGTTTGTACGATTTACATTTAAATGAGAAGTTGAATCAAACCCTTATTTTTTTAAACCAATTACTGTACTTGTACTTCTACTTGAGTACAGAGTTTAAGCACTTTTGCCAACTCTTGACTCTAAAAATATGACGTTGACACACAGCGTTTCACACGAATAGCTGCTTAACTGGAAAACCGACGACAATTACCCTGCAAGAACAGCAAAGATTTGAAAGGGGAATAACTTTGCTCAAGTTAGCAAAGCAGCAAGCCATGTGGCAATGACAGCTATTGCCAGGTTCCACCATAACAGCTTATTAATGTTGTCATACAGTCACCGCCCAGTTATCGTCTTTCTGGGGAAAAGGTGAATTGTGCTATTGTTCTGCGGGCACTTACCGGCTTTGGTGGAGCCCCGTTTCCCTTTTTTACTTCGCGGCATGGCGAGCAGCTGCGTTAGCCAGGCGGGGCTAGCTAACGTTAGCCTCCTTTCAAGTTGTCCAACGTAAAATCTCCTCTCAGCTCTATAATCGGCGCGAAGACATCTGGATTTGTTTCCACGATAACAATGAAAAATAAAGAAATCCCCCGTGACACTTTCGTTGTGACGAGTTGACTAATGTTGACTGGCGACCCCTGCCAACAACAATCGCGCCCAACTCAACGCTTACTTCCACCCGGGAAGGTGATCCTTGTCCACAGGTGACAAATCCACTCGCCGTCACGTTTGCTATCGGTGTATTATCTATGCTTGTCGCCAGGTATTCTGTACGTAACACCGGGTTGGCACAGGGAGCATTTGTCAAAAAGTTTGGGGAGGAGTTTGTAGCACGCTGCGGTCGCGAGGTCCACCATCTTCCTTTCCTCTCCCGGCAGAGCACGCCGGCTGTGGGGGTTGCCAGGTTAGCTTGGTCAAGGATGCCAGCTCCGAGTCACACCAATCCCCCTTTCCGCCAAAGGTTTGAGCAAAAATTAGAAAATAACACACAAGGAAGTGAAATCGTTCACTACTTCTTAATTCCCATAGAGTGATTTTATTTAGAGGATTATTAAGTGCTCTCACCAGTGAAATAAAAAAGTTTTTTTTTATACATTACGAGAGCGTGGCGTTACCTACGTCACTGCTGTTCCATATATACAACGCTCTGCACTGACGTCAAGTAGTGGAACTTGATGAGTATCGAGCATGACGTAATTACACGCGATTTATAGCGTACGTTTTCGTATATTAAATTATTTATTTTAAACCTACCATTGATGCTTTTGGAATGTGGGAGGAAACGGGAGTACCCGGAGAAAACTCACGCAGGCAGGGGAGAGCATGCAAACACCACACAGGGAAGGAAGGAGCCCGGAATTGAATCCATAACCTCCAGTCGATCACTGCACCGCCCACAACTAGTTATTGTTTTGTTAAATTGCCTAACTATGCCCAAAATGTAGCTAAAACGTGCTCAAAAATGATAATTAGTGTGTGTGCCTATGTTCAAACTAGGATGCACTTTTTTCAGTAATATTAAAATACACCTCTGTCGTTTTATTTACAAAACCTTGGGCCTGCTATATTTAAATGTCGGTCATGACAGTAGTACTTGGAGAGCTCAGGTTTAATTTTTGTTTTGTTTTATGGGGGAGGGGGCAGGGGTAAAATGGTCTAAAAAAATTATGATAACCACTGGACATTGCATCTTGCAGTTTCTAAGCAAAGCTGTGCTGACCCAGCCATCCAAGTTGTTCATGAAAATCATATGCGACCCACAAATTGCAATTTTATGGCTACAAATTTGCATGTTGTATGTACATTATGTCTGTATTATGGCTACAACTTAAAAAACATGTTCCCATGGCATGCTTGGGGCATCGTAAATTCTGGACTAACCTTGAAAACTAATATGAAAACCAAAGCTGTTCAATTAATGTGTGAAACACAAAACTTTTGATGATTAAGAAATACATTGTCTTTAATGAAAGTAAGTATTTGCACACGAAATACTACTTAAAATGTTACAGAGTCCGTTTTCAAGTAGAGATTCACATCAACAGGGCAAGACATTAGAAAAAAATATTTTCTAAAAATTACATCAGTAGTTTTCTGCTTTAAAAACACACTAAATGACAATGTAGTTTCTAAAGTTAGTAATTACTACTAACATATGTGTCAAGTGATGGAGCACTTTCAAATTCAAAACACAAGAAGACATTTGGTCCGCAAACAAATACTTGTGATCATCACAACATGATTAGGCTTTTTCATTCGACCTTTGTTGATGTAGTATATTAATGTAAGTTACGTTGTCATTTCAAGGATATTTTGATAAATAAAAAAAAAAATCTGAGTGAAAAATATGATAGTGATACAAAAAACAATTGTAAGGACACTTTTTGATAAAACAGTAGCAATTTCAGCAATCGGCAGTGTTCAGGCTGTATTGGTCGTGGTAGTTTCGTCCACCAGTTGTAAACTTGTCAGAACTAAGATGTTTTATTCTTATCAAAAGAGGAAAAAGAGGATAGAAGATGTTAGAAAAAGAGATGGTGCTTTGAATTAAAAATAAGATACCACCTCCATCATCTCAAAGGATTCAGATTGGTCCATTGATTATTCAAGTTTGACAAATGGCATTGAGACTTCAATTTATACCAATAGCTTATTACCTCAGACGGTTTGTTATTCAGTAGGAGTATCCAATAATTATCAAATAAATAAAGCTTAGCAATATTTACAAAGTAGGATTCATTGGTCAATATGAGATGTATTATGGTCACTGTCCGATGAAAAGTATTTTTGTGATTAGTGAGAAAAAAACAAAACAAAATATCACACAAAATGACTTTTGTTGTGTTGCAGAGAAACGCTCACAAAATTTGAGATACATGCTTTTCATTGGCCAGATGAAATGTAAAACTAGAGAGGGAAGGATATGAGTTCACATGTAAGGGACGGGCATGGAGGAAGGTTGCCCCTATCCTGAATAATAATTGGTAGGGACAAAGGGCATCTTGCACACGGTGGCGGCCACTGCTTTTTTCCTGACCTCCACCTGAATTGCTGTCCCGTTCTTTGCGAAGGCGGCGTCCACGTAACCCATGGCGACATTTTTTTTCAGACACGGTGAGGGGCAGCCGCTGGTCACCTCGCCTAAGGACAAAATCAAAGGCTACAATTACACCGCATGGTTAAACATGTTCGGTTTGTTGAGTTGTGCAATAGGTGCTGCCACACAGGGCGGTATTTCTCGGGGGATGGTAACACGGACAAAAAAATGCTACTTGAAATGATTTCGTATCGGCATCATGAAATGTAAATCATAGGCTTTTGTATGGGGAACTTGCGTCCCCTTGTGGAGAGATAAGGCGTCCATCTTTCACGGAATTTGCTAATAAACGCTGAAGAGAGGGCTTGTCAATGTCAAGTCACGAGTGTATGACAGGTACATTGCTTGAAGATCTCTGTAATTGGAGGAGGCGTTAAGATGACGTCATTGTTGGTATAGTGTGTCATGGCTACATGTTTTATTCTTGTTTTAATAAGTGGTTAAATTAAAAAGCCGACGAACTAGTAATGAAGATCACATGATTGCTTAACAATCGACATTTGCAAGTAGCAGTTTTCTTTTTTTCTCAGTTTAACTGAATTGGCAGTAATAAAAAAAAAGAACTTATCACACAAAGCAGTACCCATTACTTGTCTAACTTCTATACACTTGCATGAAAATGAACTATCCTAAAAACATTGCTTAAAACAAAACCTTTACGGTACAGTATTTGAGAAGGTCAACCTCTTCAATTTCTATTATTTCCTGGAAAGAATTTGAAATCTAAACATATCAAAGGTCAAACAGCTTCCTGGATTTGATCGTGTTTGACTTCCGAGGCAGCAAATTTGTTTTCTAACCTATGACTTTTCCATCCGGACTGAGGATGGGCGTGTGTTGTCGGACAGGGGGCCCGGTAGACACCAGGCCGACTCTCTTCCTGGTGGTCTTCGCCTTGATCTGAGGGACAATGATGTCTGCTCCAGGGAAGTCCTTGGCCTGACGCCGTCGCTTTCCTGCACATCACATGAAACGCACATTGTAAACACAGCAGGGGACATAATTCAGCATTCCCCTCCAAACACACCACACAACTGAACACACACTACCGAAACGCTCTCATACACACTTTACCCATCCTTGGGTCCCTTGAAAGGCCCAATATAAATCAAAGCTTTTATTACTATTACTGAAAAGCTTGCACGTGTACAATAGGACATACACATTGACAGACTTGAGCAACAATTTGATGAAAGAGGCTGACCTATTGTCCAAACTAGAGTGGCCTCCACGGGCGTGGTGCTCTCATCTATGTCATTGCCATAGAGACAAAGTCCCGCCTCCAGTCGCAGGCTGTCCCTGGCACCCAAGCCGGCCAGCCTGACCTCGTTGTGCGCCAGCAGCCTCTCAGTAAGTTCCACTACTCTGGACTCGGGAACAGAGATCTGGCAAGCACACAGCAAGAGATTTTCCATGTTCATGTCAAGAGAAGATATTATGAAGTCATATTTCACAAAAAAATATAATATATACACACACACGCACGCACGCAGCGTGCATGTGTGTGTAAAATGATACTTTTTCACGTGTCCTCTAATGATAGAAATGTCAGTGTGGATCAGAAAAATTGGGAGTCTGAGGCAAATTTTTTTCCCTAATTTTCCAGGGTGCACTACTGCATGAATTAGAGGGGGGTCGTGTTGAGGACCCCTAAAATACAAAAAGTTTTAACATAAAACATGTGCTTGTGAAAACTGGCAATTTTAGGGCCCCCTAAAAAAGCGATCAAAAATAACAATGCACAGCAACTCCAAAGAGGACTTTTGCAGTCGCGTGGCCTGGTGCTCAGGCTCAAATTAGAAGTGTGCAACTTATTATTGTTTATTTATTTATGTTTTGTTTATTTTTATTAGCTAATTGTGTGACAATGTTGTGCTATTTTTTTATTCTTTATTTTTTGTAATTGGACGGATAGATGTTGGTTCCTTTGTCTTGATGTTGCACTGTTAAATCTCTTTAAGCAACCGATATTCACTTTGCCTATCCATATGTCTGTATTGTACTGCCCCCAGGTGGCCAAGGCGTGCACAACAGAAAGAGCAGCACAATGTCCACACAATGTATTCACATTCATCATAAAATACAAAACAGCCATGGATGAAATTACCTCCACCCCATCCTCTCCAGTGTATCCACATCGGGTGACCCTGCAACCAGGAATACCAAAGACAGTGGCCAGGGCAGAAGTCATGAAGGGCAGCTTGCTGAGGTCCTCCTTCAAGCCCTCCTGGAGCACCTGAGACATGGACGGACCTGAGCATATAAAACAGACAACCGGGAATTAGGAACGACATGAAAGAGGAGCACAATATCGAGCCAGAACGAAAAAAAAAAGAAAAAAAAACATCCAATAAATATCTCACCTTGTACCGCAATCAGCGCTTCATCAAGGAACTCCAGATCCACGTCTGAGCCTGACGCCTTGAACTCTGCAAGTCTGGCCTGGAGGTGTTACACATGCAGCAAAAACACAAATTTTAGTTTCGGGGTAAAGCTTTCCTCTTGTATTTTCTGGTAAAAGTAATGTCGATTTATCAATGGACCACTCGTCACTCGCCTTCATATGAGCCGAATCTTTGTCTGCACAGCCAGCGTTGGAGACCACGTAAAGATAGCCCTGATCTGTCTTTGTTACTATGAGGTCATCAATAATGCCCCCCTTATTATTCGTGAAAAGGGACAGCGTACCCTAGAAATAAAAATGATTATAGTTATTTGAATAATAAGTTGATTAACTTTACTGCAAAAGAGTAGACAAATGCATTTCTGTTCAATTTAATTCATACCAAAGTGGGCTCTTGTAATAAAAAGAGAACATTAGAGAACAATAAAATGCATGGAAATACTTCACAGAGAAAATGAAGTTGTTTGCTAATGGGGGTTTATAGACGTACCATGCGAATCATCAGAAGTTATTGCCTCTACCTACATTTGAGCCAGGATAAAGAAATAACTCATAGGTTCTGGTATATTTTAAAGTATATATTTGATTTCTCTAAATATGTTTTTATATTCAGCACATCTGCCTCACCCTTGAGAGGCTTGAGTTGTGTTTTACCAGGAAAAATATTTTAAATAGAAATAGACTTTTTAGTGTTGATCTCACCTGGTTGTCTTTAAGTTCTGAAATATCCGCCACCACCAGAGACTCCATGAACCTGATCCTGTCTTTGCCATGGACTTTGGTCTAAGAAAAACAATAGAAAAGTGATGCAGTTAGTAACTTGTAGGTCCCCCAAAAAATAAATAAATAAAATAGAGTTCCGTCGGTGGAGGTTGACCATGTCGCCGTCTCACCTGCAGCATGTGACTGACGTCGAAGATGGCACAGTGCTCTCTAGTGTGCATGTGAGAGCTGATGTGACTGTCTTTGTACTGCACAGGCATACTCCAGCCTGCAAATTCCACCATCTTCCCTCCATGTGCCCTGTGGAAGTCAAACAATGGCGTCTTCTTCAAGGCGGCCTGGGGGGATACGAGGGACATGCATTGGGAATGCCTATCGGAGGTTACAGCCACTAAATCAAACAGGATGGATTTTTTTTATTTTTTTTATTTTTATTTTTTTTTAGGCCAATGCCGATTCCGATATTTGGCAGGGCAAAATTTCTATGAGATTAATTATTTAGATTAATCATCAGACTAATTAAGAAAATATGTAATTTATAAAATTAATTATTTAACGTGTACACCAATATAGATATGAATTACAGGCAGAACATTTGACTGTTTTACAATACTTTGTCCTTTAATATGCTTCACTTTACGACAGAGATAAACATCAGCAAAATGTGGACGATTTTTGGGGGGGTGCATGGAGTGTTTTACTGTCATTATTTTTGCCTTGGATTGTAATGTCTTAATATGTAAAAAAAAATAAATCTGAAAAAGAAATTGCTACTTTTTGCTGATTTTAACAGGGATTGCATCAGCCTATCAAATCTGCCTGAGCCCTTTCGCCAATTTGGAAAATATGTGACTGTCCCCCTTCTAAAAAAAGGTTTATAAATTTGACTGTTTTATAATACTTTGTCCTATAATATGCTTCACTTTATGACAGAGATAAACATCAGCACAATGTGGACGATTTTGGGGGGGGGTGTATGGAGTGTTTTACTGTCATTATTTTTGCCTTGGATTGGAATGTGTTAATATGTAAAAAAATAAATAAATAAATCTGAAAAAGAAATTGCTACTTTGCTGATTTTAACAGAGATCGCATCAGCCTATTAAATCTGCCTGAGCCCTGTCGCCAATTTGGAAAATATGTGACTGTCCCCCTTCTAAAAAAAGGTTTATAACTGCTGAAAGATTCCATAATATGGCTGCAAAGCTCTATTTTTGTCTGAATAAAATTCCTCAATTCACTTCAACATGGTTTCTTGGTAACAGGATGGGCTTGTACACATACTGCATGTATGTGTGAGAACCAGAAAAGTAGAGCACGTAGAGAGGTTTGACCTTTGGAACGTGAGCGGGACGTAGGGCTTATCAGTGTACAAGCAGCGGTGCTTTGTGGAATGTGTTAATATGTAAAAAAATAAATAAATAAATCTGAAAAAGAAATTGCTACTTTGCTGATTTTAACAGAGATCGCATCAGCCTATTAAATCTGCCTGAGCCCTGTCGCCAATTTGGAAAATATGTGACTGTCCCCCTTCTAAAAAAAGGTTTATAACTGCTGAAAGATGTCATAATATGGCTGCAAAGCTCTATTTTTGTCTGAATAAAATTCCTCAATTCACTTCAACATGGTTTCTTGGTAACAAGATGGGCTTGTACACATATGTATGTGTGAGAACCAAAAAAGTAGAGCACGTAGAGGTTTGACCTTTGGAACGTGAACGGGACTAGGGCTTATCAGTGTACAAGCAGCGGTGCTTTGTGGAATGGTAGTTTGCACTTTATGTGAGATTCAATATCATTTTTTTCTTTTTTAAACAAAAGTCCAAGGTCAGCTGGTCTTTTAGGAAAGCGGTGGTGCGGGCTGTAAAACTACGACACACAACAGGACTTAGATAAAGTCAGATAAACACCACAAATGACAATTAATGATTAGCACCATGATGACTGAATGACAGCGACACAGGGCATTTGTAAAGCCTCATGTGAACACTGAACAATGGAGATGACGTTAAAGTGTGAATGCCATTAATTACTTGTTTTCAATTGAAATCAAATAATCTAAATCATAAAATTCACATAGGAGGATGTCTGACTAAAGGGCACAGATGCTCATTATATCTGCATGAACACTCTACTGCTCTTACTCACTCAGGGATGACGACTCATTTTTTCAGACGTGTGCAAATGACTAATGAGACTCGTTTTTTTCAATTTTTTTCAAGGTTAGTGATCAAATATTTGTCTTCATTTTCTTTATTTATCCATCATCCATCCATCCATCCATCCATTTTCCACAGTACTGTTCTATGTTCAGACGGGGACAACCATGAAAGGAATATGCGCGAACTACTAGGCTAAAATGCTGCCCTCATTTGATTTA